TCTCTCTCTCTCTCTTTCTTGTCTCTTTAATCACAATTATTTCAACACCCTTCTCAAGAACATTTCATCCTTCAAGTGTCGACAGGCTATTAAATTGGCCATAAGTTTCATTTTGTGGTGTCGTGACCACTTTTATTGGCCGTAATTTGAGTCACTAATTTGATTTGTTAATTATGTTTTACGGCATGTGTGTAAAAAAAACTGTAAAATTATTCAGTCCTCCTCAGTCAATTTCCTTCATTATTTTTTTATGAAACATTTATTCAAATTGAGATTAAGTCCCTAAAATTTTATTATAGATTTCGAAATTATTTATATGAGGTTCCACTCGTTACTGTCATTGGTCATTCATCATTGTCGTATGTCAAAATACAAAATTTACAAAAGAAAAAAACATAGTGTTGATATGATACTGACTAATATTATCAACTCAAATTTTAGCAAAGAGAAGCTATATATATATTATAAACCTATCTGTCTGCCCCGATCAATATCAGTCGTAAGATGCACTGTGGTATAATCAGCACGAGGCTCGAAAGGCAAAAAAGTGACTTTTCATGACATTTTTTTGTGGTATATATTGAACATTTGATGTCTTCTTCTTCATAAGATAAAAATGAACAACTATAATCGACTCTATAAATATTTTATTTTGGAGGTGTGTGTTTATAAAAATTCGTTTTTATTGTGTTTTAGAGCTTTTAAAAGATTAATTAACCTTCCTCTAGATCTCTCAGAGCGGACTCCTTACCATGAGGTCACCGAGGCGGTCTATGTGCATGTGCGTGTGTGTGTGTTGGTGTGTTTGTATGTGTGTGTATGTGTGTGTGCGTGTGTGTGTTTGTGTGCGTGTGTGTGTGTGTGTGCTCTTGTGTGTTTATGGTGCTGTATTGCAAACGTACAAACGTATAATCAGGTTGCGTAAACATGACAGTAAGCCGACTTGCGGCCTTCCGAGCGCGTGGTTTCGGTGAAATGGGGTAGTTCAGATCTCTCTTTCTTTGCTCTTTTGCTATAAAACACCAAATGCTCAACACTTTGAAAATTTTCCGGTTTTCTTTGTTATAATAATATTAATAATGTAAGTTGTTTGTATATCGGGGTAGTTGGGGCTGGAGAATCGCTGTAGAAAGGGAAGCCCCTCGCTGTCAGAATGTGAGGCCCCCCGGTTCAAAATTGACACCCATGCATATGAATGCTTGGCGGAGAACTATACAGATTTGAGCGTGGTTTCCCGTGCTTTTTATTTTTTGGCCTTTGGCGTTTAGATAGAAAACCTTGAAAAAAGGTCTTGAGTTTTCAAATATCATTTTTAACACGAAATGCGTAAAATTACGGCTAAAAAAAGGTACCAGTAGAAAGAACAGTTCTTTTTCTTTTAGTTTTAGAATAAAGTCATCAGCTTGGAATTATTTTGCATGAATCCTTTTGCGAAACTACTGGTAGCACTCCGTATACTACGGTATTTAGCCGGCTCGCTCGCCGCGAAGGCTGGTGCGAGGCCGGGCGAGACAACGCTCGATGTTTTTATTGAAATAATGACAGATCATTGTGTTTGAGGCAATAAAATACTGATTTGTAATGATCTCACCGTCTTGAAAAATATTAGGCTTCATCTCTATGTTATAGAGATTGTACTCTTAAAATGTAGAGATGTTTGGTGCACTCGGTACTCTTTTAGTATCTGTCAAACATGCGGTTGCAGCCAGTTAACGACTTCAGCAGTGAAGTCCATTCTCGTAAAAATTTTGTTTGGTCAATAAGTTTTTTTTTCTCTGTAAATGAATAGTTTTCTACTTCTGTATGTTACCTTCTAATGGCATATAGCCAAGATAACTGCTAAGTTACAAGTCTCTATTTCAATTCTAAGACCCCATTGCTATGGAAACATGTTGCTCAATTTCGGAGGCCATTTTTTCCTTTTCGTGTTTCCTCACATTGCACAATTAAAAGTTCTGTATTTTCGTCAAATATGGTTTTATTTACTTCATTCTTGTTTAAAATTGTAGGGAAAAGGTGATAGTTTTTAAAAATAATATTAACTCAGTTTTGATATTTCTTCATATGATATTGACCGGCAGGGACACATATATATGCTTCCCTCAGGTCACAATGACATGGTACGTTGTTTCTCCTGTGGTGTTGAACTCTTTGACTGGATACCTGGTGCTGACCCCCTGACCCAGCATGCCTGTGCCTCTCCTTTCTGTTACTTCTTGCAGCAGAACAAAGGTCAAGAGTTTATCAATGGCGCTCAACATCAAGAGGTGAGTTGCACAACTTTTTATTGTTGTCTTCCATATTTTGTAACAGTAACTGACATTTTTAACTTGAAATTAGTATTCAGCTTGATAATGTAATGATGCATATTTTTATAGATTTTCCTCAGTCAGGATTTTCCTCGGTCTAAAGTTGAAACATTGGGTTGTCCCGTTTAATGTTTTACTTACTTTTGTGATTGTGGCCTTTTTAAAATGTACCTCTCAGATTATTCTAAACAATTACTCCTTTTCGTCTGTATGCGCTGGATCCTTCTACTGGAATTTACCGTCCCGTCATCTTATTAGTAAGCCTCCCTTTAAGTGATGTAGAAGACTACCCTTCTATTAAGACCGGTATTTTGATATTTGAAGGGTTAAACTTTTCACTCAGAGGATCATGGACATTGATTGTTCAAAGTGAACGTAAAATGAGCTTTTAGAATCTTTTTCTCTTTTTTTTAAACAGTGTTTCTCTCATTATTAACTTGTTTTGTTTTTCTTATATTCTTTACTGCAGCTTGTGGTTGGCATTAAACAAGACAGTCAAGCTCAAGGTAGAGTTTACTCTCTAATTGTTGTATGGAGCATACATGGATGTTTTTGTGTTTTTTTTCTTTCTCTCTGTTACTGTATCAATAACAAAGTTTTGAAGTTTTTATCCTACTAATTTCTATTTGTTTTGCTTTGTGAGCTTTTTTTTCTTACCAAAGGATTGAATTATTAGAACAGCTACCTTTATCTTGCACATGATAATTCCCTCTTTTGGGATTGTAACAACAACACTATCTGGCGACAGTAAACAATGGCTGATCATTACATAATGAGCCAGAAATGACACCTCCAGGTATTCCAGGTATCTGGATAGTTCTGTTTGGTGGAAAGTTTTCATGTATAAATAAATGAAAAAAGTCTGTGTTGTAAATTTTGTAAATATTGTTTTGTAAAAACGGGGGCTCTCGTGGCCTAGAGATTAAGGTGTTCGCCTCTCATTCAATAGGTCCCAGGTTCGAATCCGGATAGTGACGCAAATTTTTCTTATCTAAAATTGTCTCCTTTCACCTCCTTTCCTGCTTTCTAGCAATGTTCTGTCATCTGCTTTCGTTTCCACTTTCTGCCCCCACCCTTTCTCCCCCTTCTCCCCCTCCACTGGGCTACTGACTCTTTTGAGTCCCTCATCCTTTGGTAGGAAAGATCTACACCTAGCCATATCGGACATGGGCGAAAAATCTCAGTGGTCCCATATGCAAGTTGCGCACGTTAAAGATCCATTGGTGGTCCAAAATCGATAAGAGCGATAAGAGTAGGCCTCAGCCGCCACCCGGGCAAAATTCAAAATTTCCTACCAACAAAAAATGTTTAATGTGTCCGGTGTGCTCATATGACCTTATGCAGTTGCAAAGCGCTATAAGACACAAGTTACCCAAAAAAAATTTAACGGAAAAAATAGTAACAACTCAGTTCTCAGACTGGGGTATTTGTAGAGAATGTAAGTTACTGTCTCAGTAAAAAGATTGGTGAATGTTGTGTTGTTTTTATGTTATCCTATTGTTAATGGTCTGCTTTATCTTTTAGTTTTATTGCCAAACCTTTTATAATTGTTTGATGCAATCAACACCTGTCTACCTAGTATAACAGCTATTTCAATGGACAGATGTTTTTTTCTTCAGTAATTTCATTCAAGTCATGCAAAATATACCATGCTGTATATAATAATCTTTATCACTGAGTCACTGAGTTGACCTATTTTTTTTCTTCATTCTGATCAGATCTGGAGGCTGCTACATTATCCACCACACCAACTACCGCAGCAACATCAAACCCATCATCATCGCCACCACCAGCTGGCCCCAGACCGTACCTGGACCTGGAGTCTATCTCTGCAGCTCGTGCACGTGGGTACAGCACAGAGCAAATCTCTGATGCCATCATCACCTTCTTTTACCTGACTTGTGAGTCACTATTCAACAAAAGAAGTAGTTGCTTTTATACAGAATGTCAAGTGACTCTTACAGGGAGTGGGTTGGAGTTGACTTCAGATCTTCTGAGGTTTAAGGATACAGAGTAAATTTGTATAAATTGTATGTTGTTATTTAAGCTGCTGAGAACGGAATAATTGTTTTTCTGTAAAGTTTAAATCATTCGTGGCTCCAAACAAGATAATTGAGAGGCCTAGTGAGATGATGTTGATATTCATTTGTCATCATTATCATCATCATGATCATGATGATGATGATGATCATCATCATCATCATCATCATCATTTTCATCATCATCATTTTCATCATTGCCATCAACAAGCATCATCATCCTCATCTTCATCGTCGTCGTCATCATCATCATCATCATCATCATCATCATCATCATCATCATCATCATCATTGTCATTGTCATCATCATCATTTTCATCATTGCTATCAACAAGCATCATCATCATCATCGTCATTGTCATCATCATCATCATCATCATCATCATCATCATCATCATCATCATCATCATCATCATCATCATCATTGTCATCATTGCCATCAACACGAATGCTCACAGCTGACAAGAGTGATCATGGTGCTCTTTCTCTCCCTGTCAGTGTTCCGACACTGTTAGTTCAGCGGTTCCCTCCATGCTCTCATCTGGCTGTTTAATGCTCTATTGTCGTATATATCAGCTTTGTGAAACAAGTGAGGATTATAACATCCAAAACAACATCAAAAGTATTTTACTAAATCAGAGCATCTTTCAACCACCAACTTAGAGATCTTGCAACTCGTGTTTCTCTGAGACTGTCTGCTGATTGAAAATAATACCTCGCATACATGTTGAAATTTGTTAGGAGTGACAAGTGCATGTGTGTGGTTTGTTTGGTTCTTTTTTATACATGATGCTTTTATTTCCCTAGTTTGCTTCCTACAACCTAACATGATTTTGTGGCACTGATTGAACTTAAACCCCCAAACTGAAATTCATCTCCATGCGGAGAGAGAGAACTGACCTTGATAGGTTTATATCACAAAAACTCTTTCATGTTTTAACTAAGATAGTTTTTTTCAAGAGGCTTGAATGTTTTGAATCTGAGAAATATGTCATAATATCCCGCACTTTGTGTTTATCATGTTTTTGAATGGTGTTTTCTCTTCTCATCAATTTATACAAGTGGGCTATACTATGTAGATTACTTGTGTGTTGTAGTGAATAAAGTTTTTTACCCTGTGTGTGTTTGTGTGTCCAGGTGGCCAGTTCCCCGACTCTCCCCTCCTGCTGGGTCTGCTCAAGGCCGGCACTGACCACCACAAAACACTCTGTGACAAAACACAGGAAAACCTGGACATCAGGTCGGAGAACCAGGTCATTAAGTCTGAGGTTGAGGTCATTAAGTCAGAGAACCAGGTCATTAAGTCAGAGGTGAAGGCCAAGGACACAGAGATCCAGGCCAAGGAGAGAGAACTCCAGCGTCAGAGGTTTGAGCGTCACTGGCGTGAGCTGGCCATGAAGACAGAACTGGAACAGGTGAGCTACAACCTTTAACCTGTTTGACCTTTTCACACTCCTGCTAAAATAAAAAATATCTGAACCTGTCCTTGTTGACCGTTGTAACCTCATAACCTTACTAACCAGTCCAAAATGTAACCCCTCACTTTTCATATTTGGGACGGCCTCACACAGCTAGTTATATAATGTATATATAACCATCTGATCCTCCCCTGTGCCCTTTTGTTTTTGGACAATATTGTTTAAATGGATGGTTTTGATCTTATGAAGGCAAAGCACTTGTTCCGTACTACTACCAGAAAGAAAGAAGACCGAGACAACACACCATAGCTGATATTACATGGCTCCATTCTGATGCATACATTGAGAAGTGTGTTATTTTACTACTGGAGAAGTTGCTCCTCCAGGTGGTGTGCAGTGGGCTTATATGTTTCTCCATAACCTTCTGGTTAGAGCTATTTATGACTGTATTGTGACTGAGCAGACAATAATTTTTGTCTTCTCAGCTGTTATCGAACATTTGAGATGACCAGGCTGTGTAGGCTATCTCTTTGCTAAGGGTCATCTCAGTGTTAAGTTACCTCTCTGCCAGATGCTGTGTCATTGCATTGGTTTAGAACTTGACATTGTTTAGAATGAGGAAAGAGAAGCACATCAGTATGATAACATTCATTAAGTTTTTGAAAAGATCAAGGCTGATGGATTGACAGAAACTAGAGGAGGAATGAAAAAGGACCTCATAGTGACAGCTATAGAATTTGACTCAAATATTCTAGGTGAAAGTTTGAGCTAGAATGAGGTATGAGTTTTCTTTGACCATCTTTCTGGAAAGGAGAGTCCACAGTTTGATGCACTTATCAATGGACAGGGAGTGTGTGTTTGTGTGTGGGTGTGTGTGTGTGTGTGAGAGAGTGTGTGTGTTGGTGTGTGTGTGTGTGTGTGTGTGTGTGTGTGTGTGTGTGTGTGTGTGTGTGTGTGTGTGTGTGTGTGTGTGTTTCTCATAAGTATTGTACAAAGGTGCGTGTGCGTATTTATGGGTGTGTTTGTATGTTTGTGTGTGTTTTGTATGTTTGTGTGAGTGGGTGTTTGTGTGTCCGTAGGTGTGTACATATGTAAGTACTTCACCATGGTGCAACAGTTACAGGCTGGAGAAACACACAGAAATGACAGTAAGAGCGGGCATAATATAAGCTATGCTCGACGAAAGGTCTAAATTGCTAACATCTCATCTCGCGAGATCTCATAAGACGCAGTCTGCTGAACTGTTACATCTTTTCTATATCAACGTACAACCAGAAGTTTGGTCTACAAGCAGAGATCTTCAGAATAAGATTAATGTTTTTTAAATGTAGTGTTATGTGAAAATGAGCAACATCAGGTGGAAAGACTCCCGAAAACCAACGAAGAAGTATGCCATATAACAAGAACATCACCCTGGCTTCCAAACAAAATGAACATATTAAACTGCAAAATTGTTCTCCTCCTATAGAGGCATAATGCACTTTTAAAAGAAGTACTAGGAGGCAAGCGAGAAGGAATGAGGGCAGTAGGAAGGCATGGTCTACTTTGAGCTGGCTCGTAAAGTCATGGGCAGCGCTATCGTTAGAACAGTGCACCAGAGCAGCTGACAAACGGAGTGAATAGCGTACGTCGTGTTTTACTAACGTATCCATCCGACGTGGGGAACTCTGTGCCACCACTTTCCAAAGAGGAAATTTACTCGTTAATCCGATCCGTATACTTTGCATAACAGTCTATCAAAATGATTTTTTGAGAAACACTGAATGTTTCAAAGAGATCCTCGCAATAGAAGCATTCTAAAATGTGAAGAATACTACCCCGGGGGTGCAAAATGACCCCAGGGCATACGGATAGAGTTATGTGTCAACCTCAGAGGCCTCCAAAGAGAGGACTCCTCCAACCTATCAAAGTATATTTGTTCGTTTGTGTATGTGTGAGTGTTTGTTTGTTTGTGTATGTGT